AACGAACCACTCGCCGTGCGTGACACCAAAGGGCGAGCGGTACTTGACATCGGAGTGCCGGTGCATGCTCCCATTGGAGTCGTTGCGCTTGCAAGGGGCATGGTTCACGGAGGACGACACACGACTGGAAAACTTCCCGCAGAGCCTGCTGGCAGATCTTGCTGGCAATGCTTTTGAAGCGAGCTGCTTCGCCGCGACGTTTTGGGCCACGCTGGTCTGCTATGGACGACTCCGTGCCCTTAATGAGAGCAGCAGGGCAGGTCGTGGTCCCCGTCGTGCACTTGAAGTGCCGGCACTGAGAAGGTACAACACACCGGAGTTCGACTCGCAGGTTCTTTTGGACTTCGATGATTCGGAGGACGAGGAGACACACGCATAGCACGGACGCTCGACTTTCCCGCAGTGCCCAGGTTGAAAATGTGCGTCGGCTACCTAATGTATTAGTATACATACGTAATGTAGTCAAAATTATTGAAATCAAAGTCTAGTCTATGTGGAATCAATGATTCAAGCCAGCATATACGGAATAATACTTTTTGTAGATGTTAGCCAGCAATCGCCCTTTCAAGAAATTATAACTTGGAGCTGCAGCTCATTTCAGAAGCTTCTCAATTTCATTCGTCATTGATAGCACTCTGAGTCTCAGGTTTCACATCCTAGGCATTAGCAATGCATGAGTTTTTTGGTTTGTTTTTGCTGCCGCTGGAATAGGTAAGCCCCGAGTAGGCAGTAGTGCAGTGTGTGTAGTTTTGAACCCCATGCCCGTCCAGTCATCGTCAGGGAGCCTGAACGTGTAATTTCCAAACCCTACACTAGACTAACCCCTTAACCTGTTCCTTAAACCCCTATGGTTTAAACTCCAAACATGTTCCGAACAAATACGATTCGATAGAGCTGCGACTGTCATGGATTGCAGGACACCCAGAGATCCAGACTGCCAGAGCTGCGCTGCTTCCAGTCGGATTGGTCGTTGCGACCACACGCAGGGCGTTTCTTTCTAGTTCAAGTCATATCTGTAATGCTAACTCCGACAGTTCAATAAGCACACCTCGCCGGACCTGGGAATGCAGGGTTTGAAATGACAATTGTGATTTGGAATGCTTGCTTTTCTCATGACAATAGTGAGAAGGGTTGATTACTGACACATATTTTGTTGCCCAATGCCCCGTGATTTGTTTGGCAACTCAAGCAAGTGTGTGCGTGTGTGTGTGTGTGTCTGTCTGTCTGTCTGTCTGTCTGTCTGTCTGTCTGTGTGTGTGTGCAATCCTTGCTGCCATCCAATGTGTTTGAAGAACGTAAGGCGTGCACTTCATCTGTATGTGCTTTTCGTTTCGTTTACCTATGGCATCCTGGTTATCATTGAAATGTGTCGGAAACGCACTTGAAGTGCCCTTGATCTGTTTTTGGTTTTGGCACACCTTACTATTGAAATGCGCTTGAAATGCGCTTGAAATGCGCTTGCGCTGCTCCTTGCTTTCCTCGAAGGCCTGGCAAGCCTCCCTACCCTTGAAATGCGCTTGAAATGCGCTTGATCTGTGTTTGGTTTGGGTTTCGCTGCTAAACCACGGAATCCTTCACTTTGGAAATGCAATTGAACTGCGCTTGAAAGGCACTGGATCTGCATTTGCTTTGGGACCTCCTCTTCTTTTATGGAATCCACCTTACTATTGAAATGCGCTTGAAATGCGCTTGAAAAATGCGCTTGAAGGCCTGGCAAGCCTCCCTACCCTTGAAATGCGCTTGAAATGCGAAATGCGCTTGATCTGTATTTGGTTTGGGTTTCGGTGATAAACCACGGAATCCTTCTCTTTGGAAATGCAATGGAAATGCGCTTGCTTTGCCTCCTCTTATTTTATGGAATCCACGTTACTAGTGAAATGCGCTTGAAATGCGCTTGAAATGCGCTTGAAATAAGGCCTGGCAAGCCTGAAATGCGCTTGAAATGCGCTTGAAATGCGCTTGAAATCCTTTTAAATGCAATTGAACTTTGAAAGGCACTGGATCTGCATTTGAATGGAATCCACGAAATGCGCTTGAAATGCGCTTGAAATGCGCTTGAAATGCGCTTTCCTCGAAGGCCTGGCAAGCCTCCCTACCCTTGAAATGCGCTTGAAATGCCTTGAAATGCGCTCCCTGCAATGGAAATGCCTTGAAATGGAATCCACGTTACTAGTGAAATGCGCTTGAAATGCGCTTGAAATGCGCTTGAAATGCGCTGTTTGCTTTCCTCGAAGGCCTGGCAAGCCTCCCTACCCTTGAAATGCGCTTGAAATGCGCTTGGTGTTTGGTTTGGGTTTCGCTGCTAAACCACGGAATCCTTTTCTTTGGAAATGCAATTGAACTGCGCTTGAAAGGCACTGGATCTGCATTTGCTTTGGGACCTCCTCTTCTTTTATGGAATCCACCTTACTATTGAAATGCGCTTGAAATGCGCTTGAAATGCGCTTTCCTCGAAGGCCTGGCAAGCCTCCCTACCCTTGAAATGCGCTTGAAATGCCCTTGAAATGCGCTTGATCTGTATTTGGTTTGGGTTTCGGTGATAAACCACGGAATCCTTCTCTTTGGAAATGCAATTGAACTGCGCTTGCTTTGGGACCTCCTCTTATTTTATGGAATCCACGTTACTAGTGGAATGCGCTTGAAATGCGCTTGAAATGCGCTTGAAATGCGCTTGAAACGCGCTGCTCCTTGCATTCCTCCAAGGCCTGGCAAGCCTCCCTACCCTTGAAATGCGCTTGAAATGCGCTTGATCTGCGCTTGATCTGTGTTTGGTTTGGGTTTCGCTGTTAAAGCACGGAATCCTTCTCTTTGGAAATGCAATTGAACTGCGCTTCAAAGGCACTGGATCTGCATTTGCTTTGGGACCTCCTCTTCTTTTATGGAATCCACCTTACTATTGAAATGCGCTTGAAACGCGCTGCTCCTTGCATTCCTCCAAGGCCTGGCAAGCCTCCCTACCCTTGAAATGCGCTTGAAATGCGCTTGAAATGCGCTTGATCTGTATTTGGTTTGGGTTTCGCTGTTAAACAACGGAAACATACTTACCATTGAATTGCCCTTGAAAAGCGTTTCAATCACGCTGGATCAGTTGTGCTTTGCTTGTGTTTCCTGAACCAATGCCATGATTGATACTCGCCCTTCAGCTGCACTTGAAACGTTTTTGGCTGGCACTTGATCTGCCCTCGGTCCCTGGTGGCAATATAATAAAGCCCCGGCAGTCGTGGTCCTTAGCATTAAACTGCAGTTGACATGTGAATGTGCTTGGACACATATAATATAAACCTGTGCAATGAGCTTGATCTGCAGTTGCTCTGTCTCTGCATGGCACTTGCTGTGCACGTCCTGTTGCCTGGCTGGCTCTCTGTCTCTGCAACACTGCTGCAATTCCTCCTTGTGAACGATCTGATCTAGGCAGTTCATTGCTGTGCATCTGCATTTCAGCCCTTGTTTGCGTGCCGATGCATTTGCACTGCATGCACTTGAAACACAAGTGGATTGTCTTACCTGTGTGGTGTACACTTCGATCTAAACCCTTTGTCTATGGTTTCGCCACAGCCCTTTTTATGAGCAGGTCGACTCTGAGTGATTCCCAGACATCCTGTGCATGACACACGCTTGCTTTGCTTTAACAACGTCCAGTGCCAACCCTACAGACATGTTGGTCGATTTATCAAGGAAGCTCACAAGGCCAGCCAGCCTGTTCAAGATTTTTGCAGCAAAGACTTTGCATTGGCCCGCACGGTAACACAAGGCCCTCTTCGCATGGAAACCTTTAAAAGAACAGCTTCTCCAAACCATGATGCACGACTTCATATCAAGGCTTCGCAAAACAAAAACCTTCGATCCACGGTTCCTCATTTCGGTATGGATTTCGCTATGAACATGCAAAGTGGACCACTCCGCAGTCTTCAAAAATGACCCCTGTGAAAATCGGACCCGGTCCGAGCCTCTAGGTACGCCCCATCCCCGCTGGTAGGCGTTCCCCGCTTAAGTTGCCGCCCAATTTAAATTACAACATACTCTGAGACGAGCTCATAGTCAACCCTATATCCCCTAAACCCTACCTATAACCCCCAAACTAGGTAAAGTAATGGCCCAAAACCTATAAATGCCCATTAGTCTACGTACTCTTGGGAGCCAGGTAAACCCAAAACCATGAAACCCTAAACCCTACACCATCAGACCCTAAACCCTCACACCCTAAACCTTAAACCATCAGACCCTAAACCCCAAACCCTCAGACCCTAAACCCTCAAACCCTAAACCCTAAACCGTGTCGTCACCGGATCGAGGCTTCAGCGCCTCTTGCAACCTCTAAACATCCGAAAACCCTAAAGCCATACCTTAACCTACCAAAACCAACCTTTTTGTAGGGTAGGGTCCCTATAAACTCCATACTAGGGCTTATAATAAGAACCTACAAAATTGTGGGTTTGGTAGTTTAAGGTAGTCTATGTCGCTCCAAAGAGCCCCAACGCCCTGAAATCCTGGATCCCCGGGCACGAGAAATTTCACAACTCCCTGTAGAAGCCCTGTTTTCAGCCGCTCCAGGCCGAATTTTCCCACGAGCCGGCGCTGCGCGGAACGCGCACAGCCGCGCAGCGGCAGAGAAAGGGAGGGGTTTAGCCGAAATGTCAGGTCTTAACTACTTCAACCTACCAAAACATAGTCTTGTTTGTAGGGCCCCTACAAATTGAATATTGAGGTTTGTGATGAGAACCTACAAAAAGTAGGTTATGGTAGCTTAAGATAGCCCACACACAGCAGGATCCGAAGCCGTAAAGCCTAAGCCAAACCCCCAGCTTACTTGTTCAGTTGCGCAGATCTGTAGATTGGGAGTTGACAGGTTGCCAGATAAGGCTTGGCTTTGGATCTTGGGACAAGTTCGGGCCTTTCGAATTTGGGCTCATGTTTTATGTGGGTGCGCAGGCTTCTGCGTGGGGCAGCTTGTTTCAGAACATGCGCGGGTTTCGCAGCCAGGGGCTGGCAGGGAAGGCGCCATGGAGGCTTAGGGACCCCAAAAAGCTCACAAGCATAAGCATTTTATGGAGATATCCTTGCCTTATTGGCCTTCCTTTAAAGGCGGTTTATATGGGATATCCCTACGCTTATTTTTGCTTATGTGCTTTTTTGGGGCCCTATAGATGATCCCAGTGAGGCAGCACTGTCATCCGAGATCAACTCCATCGCGGAGGTCCAGGCACCGATTCTCGGGGCTCTGTAAGGGGTTTTAGGGTACATCATGGGACTTGGCAACTAGGGTTTTTAATAAGGTAACTATGGGGTCTGCGGCTTCGTTGCCAGTCACGAAGTCCGGAAACGCTTCGAATCTCCTAAACTAAAGCCATAATACCCTTGATTCAGGCCTGCACCTTAAATCAAGCAAGAACCTTCCCATAGTTTAAGTCACACATATACATATATATATATATACATATATTCAATGTCTATGAGTATTTCTTTTTATGTACAGTATAATTATGTATGTATACTCCGAGTAGTTACATCTGCATTCACATGTATGTTTGTTTGTTTACTGTTTGTTCCTAAATATCATGGCCACTTTTATTCCTGAGGGAACCCAAAACCCTCTTAATTGATTAAGGCCCCTATAGCATATTCAACTAAGGGCTATCACCCTAGGCCCCTGAACCGATCGCCCTCAACCCTAAACAAACCTCCTCACCCGCCCCCCTCACCCGCCCCTCTCAAAAAACAACCCTTAAATCCTAAATCCTGAACTCTGGTTCCTAAATCCTAAACCCTAATTCCTAAATCCTATAATTTTCACTGGGAATGGTGGAAGCCACACCACCAGGAGCTGAGAGCTCCGGGCGAGCTGAGTGAACGGCAGCTGGAGCAGGCGAGGGGTGGCTTCCTTCTTAAGAATTCCCTTGAGGGCTCCTTTTGAGTGGCTTTAGGGTTCTATGAGGGTTTGGGGTTTAGGTCTTAGGGGTTTCGGGTTCAGGGGTTTAGGGCTTTATGTCCGGATTTTCCATGTTTGCTTTGCGGTTGTCAGGATTTTCTCTTTGGGTTTGCTGTGGGCTTTGGGTGTTTCTCTTGGGACGGGGTGGGGCCTTCTCCCAGCAAAGCTTACGTTGTTTTCCTAGTTCGGTGGTTGTCAAAATTATGGTGGCTTTTCGGGTCTCTGTTATAGTACGGCACCTATTATTTAGAGCACCGCCCCCCCCCACTCCAAAAAAAAAAAGGACCTCCATTTTGACAACTACCTAGTTTCGTACCAGCGACCTAGTCATGCGGGAAGCAGGGAAGCCTTATCTGGTCATGGGGACCCCTACCCCATAATGGGCTATATAATGGGTAGATAATAGCTATATTAAGGGTATATACGGATATACCCGTATATAGCCTTAATATAGCTATTATATACCCATTATATAGCCCCATTATTATCGGGTAGGGGTCCTTATTAAGGGTCCCTCCTTTTTTACCCTTATCTAGTCGAGTGGCAGCGCCTTCGGGAGCGAAGTGAGCCCTAAACTCCAAACCTAACTTGGAGCCCAAGAAACCTACCTTTTTAGGGTCCGCTATTAGGATTTCTTTATATAAGTCAAAAAGGTAGGTTATTTGGGGTTAAGGAACCTAGAGAAAAAGATGCTAAGCCCAAGAGGTTCAGGGTTTAGGGTTTGAAGGTTGAGGGTTTAAGGGTCTGATGGTTTGGGGTTTAGGGCTTAGGGTTTGGGGTTTAGGGTTTCATGGTTTTCGGTGTACCTGGACCCCGAAAACATGTAGAATAATAAATAATAGCCTCTTTATAGACCATTATTTTACCTGCTTTGCGGGGTGTAGGTAAGCCCAAGAAGCGAGAATATGAGCAGGTGCCCGCCCACTGGCCTAGAAGGGCATATAAATCCTGCGTTACCTTAAGGACCCTAGACTCTGGGAATTATGGTATACTCCTTATTATGGGTAATGCAGGATTTATATCATCAACCGTGTCGTATTGAGAACGGTATAAGGTTACAGTGTATCCTCGCAGTGATGATCGCTGTCTCAACAGTACTTGCCATTCTCACAGCTGTAAGGTTGATAACTTACCCAGAGAGCCCAATACCCCTTAATTAAGGAATATGGCTTAAATTTATATATTTCGGTCTTCATATTATGATTTAAGCTATATTCCTTAATTAAGGGGTATTGGGCTCTCTGGGTACCGCTTACCCACGCCATTGTAGTTAGAGCTAGGTTCACGTTGCTACAAGGAGTTCTCTCAGCAGGAATGTCACAGTCACCGAGCCGAGCCCTCACAAACCCTAAGCCCTGCAAAATACTAGTTGAGATCGATGGCGTTTAAGCTTGGTTGTGCTTCGCGTCGGGTGCTGTTTGTTGTTTATAGGGGGTTCCTGGTCGCGAGCTTCAGCCGATGTTATCCCTAAAACCCTAAACCCTGAACCCGACTGGATTATCGAGTCGTTTCAGGTCCGGTTGGAGCTGGCGGAGGTGCAGATCCTGCCGGCGATTTCGGAAAATTAGGGGTACCTCATTTCAAGGATCCTTATAGCTTAGTAGCTGCGTGGATACACTTTACACTTTTGGGGATAATATTACCCAGTATGAAACTAAAAGTGTTCACTTTTGGGGCATATGAACTCAACAACTAGGATAAGGATCCTGCTATTTAGGGTACTATATATTAGGGTCCCCCATTTTCGGATTGGGCTTAGCGTCCCTAAAAGGGCTCGTCACGGGGTTTCTGAAGAAAAGGTAGTCAAGGGCTACTCCCACGGGTCTTCTAGAGGTTCGAATATGTCCTGCTACGTTTCTGTAAGAGTTGCTGCATGTGTGTTTGAGTATTTCGATTTGGGGGTTTTGTGTTTTTTAGGATGGGGGTTTCAATGTACTTGGTTTTCGAGTTGGCAGGCATGATCTAGGAGCCTTGAGACGAATGAGAATGGTGTGAATGGCAGTTTAGTTTGGGGCGTATATGACTGCATCGGGGGGTCGGGAACGAGTATGTGGTCTACGAGACTAAACCCTCAAATTGGCAGTGGAGCGTCAGGAAGCTTTGGCTCTGGAGCGGGTTTAGGGTTTAGGGCACTCAAACCCCTAAACCCTAAGCCCTAAACCCCTAAACCCCAAAACCCCAAATCATGGCACCTACACTCGAAGATTTAGCATACCGGTCCCTCGAGCTCGGTTACTTTACTTTAGGCCTTGGAGCAACAAACCCAACCTTAACACCCAAAACGCTGCACCCTCGGCCCTGAATCGCAGTTTTGGCTGAACCCAAAAGCCTAAACCCTACCCTAAACCCTAAACCCTAAAGGGAACTCCAGAAAGTTGGAATATGGATTAATGGTAGGATCCCCTATAATTTACCTTAAAGGGGTTACGATAATGATATTCCAACTTTCTGGCTTCTACTGTATATAGATAGGGTAATGGCCCAGAGTCCCTCCACGCCAGGCCACCGCGGACCAGATGGAAGCAGAAGCGATCGCTGCAGAAGAGTCTGCTGCCAAGATCTCAACTGCGTGCCCCCCGAAGGGTATAATCTTAAGTATAGGGGCCTTGATAGTCAAAATAGGGTCTTTGGGTGATATTATACTGTAATTCCAATAAGGAACCCCCAAAATAGTATAGGTAATTATCAAGGCCTCTATAGTAGGTCTCTGCCTTGCGCGGTTGAGTGTTTCGAGAATTTCGAAAACGGGATCTCCAACCAAACTACTGGTTTCGCCTACCTAAGGGAGATCCGATCTGTTGCAGAAGATGTCGTAGACAAAGAACCCGGAAGACCGGGAGTGGTGGTTAACCCTGACTTCAAGATATTTCTAGAAGCATCCAGCATCAAGGCGCATCTTGTCCACAGCCTTTGTACATATTATCCGCTATCCCGGCGAGCCCTAAACCTCGCTGAACCCTCAATGTTCCGCCAGAAGTCCAGAGTTTAGGCTTTAGGAAACTCTAAACCATAAACCCTAAGCCTTAGACACTAAACCCTAAACCGCAGAGATCGTTGAACACCTCTGGCAAGCACCTTCAGCTCATGAGCTGAAACTTGAAACCCCCAGCCGAACCGGAGGTTAAGAAAAGCTGATCGTGCCGCAGAGAGGATCAAGCAATTGAAGGCTGAAGTAACATGTAGGGTTTCGGATTGGTTTTTCAAGAGTTTGCGCTTTCATTTTAGTCTAGGGTTTGCAGATTAAACGGGCTCTACAGCTCAGAATTTTCGGGATATGGAGTTTGGGCGTGGACGTTCAGGGTTGTGGCAAGGTTTAATGGGGGCACGCACAGTCACAGGCTTTAGTGGCACTATACAGGCTTAGCTTGTGATCCTTGTCTATGCTGCAATAATAACCTACTCCCCAAGAAGCCCTCGTTCGAATTGTCTAGGCCCTTACATTATGGGCAAGAATTCGGGAGTTTTCGCTTCTGAAGTGACCCCCGACCCCCCAAGCCCTTCATTTCTAACTATGTCATCTTGAAAAACACACGGTCTTCGGAACCTCCGCTGTCAGGGGCTTGCGGTCAGAGCACTGCTTTAGAGATTCTAGGACCCAGAGTAGGGCCTTATTCCCTTTGCTTTGGGTTCAGGTTCCCTTATAACCTCCTTTAACTCAAAAAGGGCACCCTTTTTATTCCTAGGTTACTCTTAGGTCTAGGATTTAGGGTTCAGTGGTTGGGGGTGTGGAATTCAAAGTTGCTTAGGAGCCAGGATTCAGCGGTGTCGAGCGCAGGATTTACAAGTTAGGGCCAATTTAGGGGTTTCAGGGTTTGTCCGACCCCTTAGCCTCAAGAGCTTAGTAGTGGAGTAGGTAAGCTAGTACTTTTTGTGATGTTACAAAACCTGTACAATCCCATAGGTTTTCCTTTAGTTCCCCTAGGATGCTAATGCTGCTAATATAGAAGCCTGAACAATTACATGTACTATTTTGGGGGTTCCTTGTTATGATTTTAGTATAACGGGCCCCCAAGCCCTATTCTAATTATTAGGTCCCCTATAGTACTTCCCCTAGGATGCTAGAGGGGTCCGATCTATGTGGGAGGTTATCAAAATTATGGTCCCTTTTGGGTCCCTACTATAATGCGGCACCTATTTTTTTGGGGTAGCCAAAACCTAGTAGTAGAGTAGGTAGCCTTTAACTTTTTTTGGGTAGTATAGTCCCTATAGAATCCCTATATAACCAAAAAATTAACCTTTAGTTCCCCATGATACCCGACAAGTAGGAAAAAGGGACCCTAATTGTGAAAGCCACCCATGTAAGTCTCTGAGAGGTCGGACCCCTGGTTTTTTCTTTCGTGTTACGGTCGCTGTCGCTTCGAGATTTCAAGACACCCCCAGAACCAAAGCGACTTGGATAGGGACGGGATATATATATATATATATATATATATATATATATATTTATGTATATACATACATAGTACATATACATACATATATATATATATATATATTCATATACATCCCCTGATAGTAACCGTTAATGCAGATATTGGCTTTTTGTCTCAGGCTTACGTCCCTAGAGTCTAAACCCTACACCCTGAGCCCTAAACCTCTGTAGCCTGGCACATGTCGAAGGCTCTGGAGCTGTCTGATGGATTTCAGGCGCCTCTGTGCCGGGAGGTTTGGACATAGCTTCAGTTAAGGCTTAGGGTTTTTTTTGGGTTGACCTTAACACCCCAAATGATAAACACTCATAGAAGGAGTTCAAGGATAATGAACCCTATAAAGATAGGTTTGTAGGGGGTTAAGGTAAGTTTCGGGCTCAGCCACCCCGAAGACCTAGACGAAGAAGCTCCGACCACGGGCCCTGAACCACCAAACATAGTTCGAAAAGATACAAAGGTCAACTTTAAAGTAAGTCATATATATATATATATACATACATACATATATATATATATATATATATATAGGGTTTAGAGATTGTAATTTAGGGTAGGATCGGGTTTCAGGTTTTGGGCACCCGAGCAGATGTGGCACAGCAGTCTCCCCGACGCACGGAGACTGCAACGACCCTAATCCCTAAGCCCTAAACCCTGTAGCATGTGGGTTGTTCTCTAACTTAGGGTCCCTTCTAGTGTCCTTTATGGTCTACGCGTGACGTACTATCATTGCGAAATACCCGTTGAGTTGTTTCCTGGGAGTGCAAGCAAGGTAGTGAAGAATTCAGTTATGCTTTATGCGGACAAGTGTAACACCCCAAAGCACTTCGCGTTGAATGGCCGAAGACCCCTTTGCGCGGCTCTAATGCAGAGGTCGGAATTAATAATACCATTGCTTCTGAGCCTAGGGTTCTTTGGTCCTTCTTGCACTTATACTGGAGTCAGACTGAAGACCGGATGCCGCAAGAAGAGGTGACCGAAGCTCTTACTGCTGCCACTTCCGAGCCTTCCGCCTCTGCTGCAGCCTCCGGCACAGCAAGCTCGTCTACGCAGTATGCTTGGAACTTCTTGAGAACACATGCTATCACATGCTAAGCAGTAGTCCAGCAGCTACACACAACCTTCGGCAGGAGAAGCCCTAAATTCTCAACCGGTGTGCCTATTATCATAGGGATCCTTAGGGTTTTTTTTTGGTTCATGGGGGTAGGGGGCCTTAAGCCCCATAATAAGGACTAATAAGGCCTATTTAAGGAACTATAGTCCCCTACACCCCTCCCCCCTACACCCCTAAGGATCCCTATGATATTATCATCGGCCAAAGGGATGCACTGCTGGCGAGAAATGTCGGTATTGCCACGTCCACGCAATTCTGCCAGAGGAAGCGAAGAGGCCGTCCAGAGGCTTGAATAAACGCAAGAAGAAGCCTCCGGATGATGAGACGCAGTTGTCGCTCCAGGCCTAGCTGAAACGTGACATCTTACTTAAGCGAAACAGGGAGGCTTCTCAGCAGGGTATTTGTAGAGATTGGCACCACGCCCAATAGCCGTTCTTAGCAACCTTTAAAAGAAGCCTTTTAAAGGAATCCGATTCTGATCGTGAAGGCGCCAGTAGTACTAGTATCCGACACGGGAGGCCAGTCGTGCCAGCCGCACGAAGCTGCAACCAGCCGTCCTCTCTCAAAGCCCTGAGGCAGGTTCTTGATTCAGGGGCTTCCTGGTTCAGGGTTTACAATTTGGGGTTTTGGGTTCGGGTTCAGTTCAGGGTTTCGGGTTTTGCGGCTTAGGTTTTAGGGTTTAGTGTAGGGTGGAATATACCGCCACCGATTTGCACACCGGTCGTGGGGACTTTCTGGCAGGACGCATCTTGGAGGACATTGCGGTGCGTGCTCGCTCTTCACACGACTCATCGCGCTTCCGGCCAGCTCAGGATGTACTGCGAGTAAACAACGTCGACCGAAGCTGAGGCTTTGCAAGAGGCCATCGTTGAGATGACACATTGCGTAGAATTTGCGAGACAACGCTGGGTTCATGCATGCCGCATGAACGCCCGAGTAAAAAAAAGCGCTCTACTAAAAATACGTAGTGGGTCAACATCTTGGTGTGGATGAACCTTCCTGTACAGGGATGAGGAGCCCATGCTGATCAAAGTTGGGAAAGTGGCGTGGTCGCTGCTGCTCAGCGACAACTCTGTTCCCTTGTCCACTTTGTTGCACGATTACCGGCTCTGTGTCCCTGGCTTCGATGCGGCACACTACAGATGGAAGCTCCACGTAGATGCCCGAGTAATACTAATATACTATGCCTGACGGCTCCGATACTTATGGCAGGATATGCCCCGAAATTTTGTAGCTACGATTTCAGAGCGTAGACTCTAAGCCCCACCCCCTAACGTCTAAAGTCTAAACTTTACACTTCAACCTTCGACCCTCAACCGAAGCCGCCCAAATTCGACCCTAAGCTCTGAAATTTCAACCGTAAAGACCCTAAGCTCTACTCTTCTATTAGACTAGACTACACCACACTATCCCAAAAAATCCAAGTACTCGTTATTGCAGGACTTTAGGGTTTTTTGTGTACGTGAACCCTTCTGGTATATTATACTATACTATATAATATTCTACTACACAACTTCAATCCTACGTAGATCCTGTTGTTGCTTCAGGACCCCAGGACCCTGGTTTTTCAGGGGCTCCGATCATGATTTTGTGTGTTGGACAGCTGACGCAACATAGAAGCTTGATAAATATGCGTAGGGTTCTCCTTTGGGTTGCTTAGTCTGAGGTATCATGACAGGAAGCATGGTCCTGGTAGCTGATAATTACATTGAATTCGACATGTTCTGCTGCAAAGAAAAATCAGTTCCTTGATCGTAACCCCAAAACCGTAAACCCTACAGCCCTAAACTCTAAACCCTAAACCGCATGGCTGCCGTCTGCCATCGCTTCTGGCTTTTGAAAAGGTCCCATGAGCCTCAAGCCCCGCCGGCTGGGGGGTTTGAGGCTCTGGTGGCAGTGGGGGCTGAGAGGGGGGACGCCTGCACCCCGGCACCCTAAGTTCGCCCAAAAGTAGCAATCCGTGATTGGATTTTCTACACTTCGTCCAAAAGAGGGCCCTGAACCTTAAGCCCTCCACCCTGAACCATAAATTAGAAACTGAACTTGAAGCCCAACACTAAACCCGAACTCAACCCTGACCCCTAAACCTGGCGAGTAATCAAAAGTCCGATGCACTTAAAAAACAACTTGATTCACCCTTAAATCTCTAACCGCTTTAAACACCAAACCTGTTGCCAGGCCATTTTCTTTCAGAGAAACAGAGACCTGGAAGACCCTGCTCCGGTGGGGGTCTCGGGTAGGGGAAGCCAGGGCTCCTCTAAGGATTTCTTGAAGGGGTCTTTAAGTTTTCTATAAAGGTTCATGAGTTTTGGGGGGCTTGGGCTTGATCTGTAGGAACTGGGGTTTCGGTGTTTGGGTTTTAAGGCAAGGGTCTAGGGTTCAACCCTAAACCCTATGAAACCTTCAACCCTATTTGACCCTAAGCCCTGCGGCTTGGGTTTTGGGGTTGCAGTGGTTCGGTCGAGGGAGCAGGGGGCTTCACCCGTTTCGCACTGAGTGGGTTCCGCTTCTAGGAGGGCTTTTGAGGGATGCTCGAAGGGTACCCTTAGGGTACTGCTTGGAGGCCCTTTTGACTTAGTAAGTAGGGTAAGTAAGGTGGGTTATGGGGTTTGTAATAGGGTTTCTAGGGGATACTAAGTAGACTTACTAAGTCAAAAGGGCCTCCAAGTGTAGGGTTCTGTAATGGAGTCCCCTCTAAGCTAGGGATCTCTTAGGGGTCCATTGAGGTTTTCTTTCAGGATGGATATCTTAAATCCTGCCGCAGCTCTTTTGCAGCAGAAAGACTGCGATGGCATTTATACGGCTGCAACAACAGCACGAAAGTTCCGTCACATATTGAAAGTCCTAATGATTAGGCAGGTGTGGCTACGAGACTGTCGAGTGTTTGATGCTGATTCGCCCTCTGCTTTTGTCACAATGTGGTTCGTGCCACTAGCCTCAACTCTTAAACAAGCCTCGGGAAAGTTATGCTGAAATCTTGCTGCCGTAGTAGTAGCTGCCGATCTCACACTTAGATATTGCATTTTTTTGAGATGAGTGCAGCCCGAAACCCGAAGCCCTAGCCGAAGACGGCCAGGAACCGCCGAAGCAGGACTCTGAAGCACCGAAAGCTGAGAAGGCACGGGTGCATGGATTAATGTTTCTTTATTCTGATCGGCAATAGCCTCGGGTGGCGACCTTGGGCAATATACAGGGCTTAATAATTACCTATACTATTTTGGGGGGCTCCTTATGATAATTCTAGTTAGTGGACCCCAAAATCCTATTGAAATCATTAAGGCCTCTATACTAACTCCTTATAGTAGTCCTTATAGACCCCTTTAAAGGAACCCTAGTCTAACTATTAAGGCCCCTACATTATGAACTATTGAGCCTCTTTGGGCTTGCGCGGACTGACCTGTTTTCGAGGCCCTGGTTCGGCCTAAGGTAGAAGCCAGAAAGTTGGAACATGATTATCCTAACCATTTGGTAGTATTGGGTAACTTTATAAGGAACCTAGGACTACAAAAAGGGAATAAGGGTACTACTGGAGATCCTAGTAAAGGGAACTCCAGAAAGTTGGAAACCGGGTTTAGGGTTCAGGGTTTAGGGTTTAGGGTTTAGGGTTTAGGGTTAAGGGTTTAGGGTTTAGGGTTTAGGGTTCAGGGTTTAGGGTTTAGGGTTTAGGGTTAAGGGTTTAGGGTTTAGGGTTTAGGGTTCAGGGTTTAGGGTTTAGGGTTTAGGGTTTAGGGTTAAGGGTTTAGGGTTTAGGGTTCAGGGTTTAGGGTTCAGGGTTCAGGGTTTAGGGTTTAGGGTTCAGGGTTTAGGGTTAAGGGTTTAGGGTTTAGGGTTTAGGGTTAAGGGTTTAGGGTTTAGGGTTTAAAGGGAACTCCAGAAAGTTGGAATATGGTTTCATGGTAGGATACCCTATAATTTACCATAGAAGGTTTAGGATAATCATATTCCAACTTTCTGGCTTCTACTGTACATTCTAGCCAAACAACCACCTGGTTGGGCAAAGAGGCAACTAATATAGAGGTCCTTAATAACTACCAATACTATTTTGCCAGGGTTCCTTGTTGTGAATATAGGTAAAATATACTCCCCCCCAAAAAAGAGATACATGTTCTAACTCTTCAGGCCTCTAAAGAAACTGGAGACTCCGCATGCCCAAACTGCACACGTTGACGCGAGCATGGTTTGGGGTTTAGGGTTGAGGCTCCTCCCGGCCCAAACGAGGAATGAGAAAACGATTCAGAGCGAAACCCAATCTGGAAGTTGCCTTGGAAGGCTCTCCGTGGCCAGTTTGATGAATTGAGAAGGGTGCTGCAAAAGATCATTGAAACCAGAGGTTGCGGGCTAAAAGCTCCAAAGGGCGTAGGACGCAGGATTTGGTCTTGAACCCTTACAGGCCTTATAGAACCCTCGGGGTCTAGGGGTTCAGGGTTCTTGTAGAATCCTTGCAAGGACCCATTTCAACCTCTTAAGCCTTAAGCCACAAGACCCAAAACGCCTGGTGAAAAGGCAGCAGCCAATGCGACGAATGGGACGAGGAGACGAATACCTGTCAGATGTAGGATTTAGGGTTTTGTGTTGTTGACGTTTAGGGTCCTTGGGCGTGGGTCTACTCTGAGGGTTTCGGGACAAGGGTTTCCGCGCTGTCTCAGTGGTGCCGACTGTGCGGGAGTGAGTGTAGTTTCCCTGCTTTACAAGGGTTTTGTAGTTGCTGTGTTTGGAAGGGGAGAAGCGATCCAATCAAGCTATGCAATTCAACCAACCTCACAGACCTTACTTCAATAAGTGCTCCTAGGAATTCCTTTCTGTTTTTATTGAAGTGAGGCTCCATGGGATCATTAAACATGTTCTTTTCAAGATGCTTAATATGCCCGATTGCAAGCTTTCTTCCGAGATCCTGTAGGCCACCCTGGTTTCAACCATACAGCCTGAACTATACTAGTAGCACTAGGAGTCGGAACAGCATTTCTGCCTACTCCCCTCCGCCTTCAAAAACATGCTGCTCTAATCATTCAGACCCCTGTGTGAGCAGCCTGAAATGCTCGAACACCTACTTCCACAGGCCTGTGCAGAATGCCCAATGTTTGAAGAGCCGAAGCCAGGGTGTATGGTTTGGGGTGTAGTGTAGTAATAAAATTGGCTTCAGGGTGTAGTTTTCAAACAATTACTAGTCTTGGGTTTTGGGTAGACCCTTGTGCCTGTCCTCGACACTAAACCTCAAGCCCGAAATCCCAACGCCCTGCAGCTTAAACCTTCAACCCTGACCCACAAGCGTCGGACCGTGTACGTAGGACGTGTGACCCAAGCATCAAGCTCTCATGCACCGCCCAGCGAGCGTTGGTCTTGGATTGTCATACCCGGTTTCAAAAGGTTGTATAAGTTGGTTCTGTTAACACAGGGTGCTGTTTTACAGGTTTCTGTTGGAGGGCTTCTGTTAGGGATTAGCGGTCAGGGCTGCAAAAGTATCCTCTTGTAGTCCCTGTGTCACAACAGCATCATGTATCCCACAACCACTCGAGCAGTTTCTTGACCGACCTTACAACGGAAGTTACGGTGGCGTTTTCAGTGGCAGCACCTGGCATTGCAACAGCGAAGAAGATTACAGGAGTGACCAAGCACGGCAGCTATGCGAACCAAGCAGAGTCGCAGCGATACAGACGTCTCGACACCAACACCAACAACAAAGGCACACAAAATCCTAGTAGTCGAGTAGGTAACCTTTAATCTTTTTAGGCTTTTTGTGGTAGTATAGTAGCTACAGAATCCCTATATAACCAAGTTTGGTTAACCTTTAGTTCCCCATGATACCCGACAAGTAGGAAAGCCAGTGGTGGCAGAAGTGGTCATAAGAGCATCAGCAACAAGCAACACCACCGACAAAAAATGCAAATCAGAAGCAGCTGAAGCAACGAACATCACCAGCGGCAGCATCAGCAACAGCAGCAGTAACAAGTGTAGAGCCTGTAGTGTTACCTTGTCCAGATACCCATCAAAACCAGAGCTTAACTATAAAATTGTATCTGTTGTAACTGTAATAACTTTTGACAAAATATCTAAAGGTGGTACTGTAGTTAACAACAGCCATGGTGGGGCAGTTTCCACAAAGCCTAGACAGACCCGCTAGGGATTTGTTGATCTTGAGAGCTCAGTCGGGACTGATGTTTCCAGGTGTTGCTCCGCCAACGGTTTCGGGCTTAGGCGATAGGCCTTAGGCTTTAGAGTTTAGCGGTCCTTTGCATTGCAACAACAGTTTCGTGGCGTGGAAACTCTACATGATAGGTCAGAGGAACCTGTGGCCGCGAGCCTCAAGAAGACTATTCCCGCGATCTGATAGTACTATTACTGAAGTGTCGCACGTGATGGCTGGATCACTCCTCCAGGCACCCAGAGTTTTTGAGGGCTTAGGCTTTGGGGCGTTAGATAGATTTAGGAAACCAGAACCTTTAACTAGCAATACACCTGAAAGTATGGGGGGATTTCGAAAATGATGCGGGGTGTCTTCCTGCACTGGGGGGGGGGGGGTCTTTGGAGTCTCCAGGCAGACGGAGTAAGCGCGGGCTCCAAGAAGTAGAACTGCTGTCTGATCCCTCAGTGGTCCGATTGTTGATAAACTCCAATGTACCTCAAACGCTCTTCTAGTTACTATTGAGGTGCCTGCTTCACACAATCCTTATACCTAGACCCCCCAAAGTACGTAAAATAATGGCCCAAAACCTGTAAAAGGCTATTATTCCACATACTTTTGGGGTCCAGGTAGACGCCCTTATGATAGTTTCTCATGCAAGAACTTTTTTTGCAAAGCACTTAATGCAACCCTACTGCAGCTATGAGTGCTTAAGGCCCATACAGTATACCCTAAGCCACAGACGCCTTGCCTTGAACAACTCTAGGATTCAACAGTAAATATGGGAATCGGAATAGATAAGTTAGGGTTTGAGGTTTAGGGAATCGGAATAGGGATGTTTGAGTCAGGGCTTGAAGTTAAGGGATATGGGAACCGGGATAGGAATACTTAAGTCAGGGTTTGAGGTTTAGGGTTATGGGGATCGGGCAACGTAGTAACAGTATAGCCCCTGATTCCATGGTTACACCACCATATGTGCTAAAGCCCTGTTCCAATTATTGTTAAGGCCAGCATGAGACACCATTCACCTAAACCCTAAGCCCTGTTCAAATTGGAGGCAGGAAGGTTTATACCAATCCGAGCCTCCAAAGCCACTTCATTATGGAATAGACCTTAATGCTTATCATGCTTCCGATCATTTTTTCAAGGTATATCCTTCAATTACAGGGTTTTGGAGTTTCTGGGAATTGGGTTGCGGTTGGAATCCCTAAAAGCCCCAACAAAGGCGTGACTCTTCTGATAAGGAACTAAGGAACCTACAAAAAACAAACAGGCATGCGACGTAGAGAACACCCCACATGGTGTTTGCAAGTCTCCCTACTGCCTACTCAGAGCGTCATAGGTCTGTTGTTCGGAAGTTGTTCGTTTCCGTGTTGGACTTTATGGTATTCAAGAACTGATTCGTAAGAATGTCCGCCGAGATTTCTGTCGTGGTACATGTGGATGTCGAACTAAGCCTCAGGAACCCAAGACACCCAAACTCTATGAAGGTTCGGGTATTCCATGTCCATGCGGTATCGCACGTGTTCCCCAAAACCTTATGTTTATTATGTTGGTTGTTACCCTAAGGCTCCATAGTAGTTCCTTTTTTGGGTTCATATTTAGAATTCTAGCCCCTATATTAGCATCAGCCCACTGAGGTTGGAGGGCTTGAGGTTTGTTGGTGTTACAGCTTCGGGATTGGAGGATTTAGGCTTCAAGATTGAAAACAACTACCTGATCCCATCCCGCTCCGATCGTGCACCCTGAAAACCATAAACCCTAAACCCCTAAACCCCTGAACTCTAAACCCCAAGCCCTAAACCCTGTCCTCGCTTATCTTGCAGATTCTCGCGGTGGCACTGGCAGCCTGCGTTGCGTCGAGCTTCTCGGACAGCCCAAAAATCTACACCCAAAGCCCCGAAAAGCCTGAACCCGAGGCCCAAATAGCAAAGGTTTCCTGGCTCATATAAGGGGTTGAGTACTCACGAGAACTAGGTCTTGGCGGTGTTTGTCTGTGCGGGGGGGTGTGTGTTTTTCTTTGTCGGGGGGTCACGGCCTTGTCAACCGGGGGTTTAGGGTTTAGAGACATGTTGGTTTGCTCTTGGAAGTGTGATCGAGGTCCCGTGGCTGAAACATCCCACAGCCGTGAGGCGGCCCGGGTCAGTAGCAATTAGTGTACTAACGGTTTGGGTTTTGGGTTTAGGAGTTTAGGGTTTGGGGAGCATCGTTAGTACAGATGGTAGAGTTCTCTCAGTAGGGTGTTCAGAACTTGGCTTCAAGGTCTGGGGGGCAGTGGTTTTGCTTGCAGGGTTTTGTCTCTTAGCAACAGGGAGCCTCTGGGCAGTAGGTCAGTAGGAGTGCTTTTCCCGCACATGTGTAGTCTAAACATGCTGAAGCCGTGGACTGCGGTAGATCGGTTCCTTGACGGCTCCAAACAGAGAGATTCCACTGTTTGTGCAATGGTATCGTCAAGTTGCAGAAAACCCACCTGGCCTTGTCTCTGTATCGTAGCCCTTCTTGGCCGCATCCGGACAGTCTAGCACCCTGAGGCGGAAGCTGTGGATCTCCGTCTGCCCCAAGCTCTAAGCTAGGTGGCAATGTGGGAAACTTTTAATTTCGCTTATGGTTCCTATAGAGGTACCTATCCATGAACACTTCTTAGGGGTACTTAGAAATAATTTTTAATTTTTGGTTATTATAATCCCTAAGAAACAGCAAAAATTTTAATTTTTGCTAGGGTTCTAAGTTCAGTATAGACTTCTCAGAACCCCAAACTCTAAGGCCTCACGAGCCTGAGCACCAGCCACGAAGCAGCTTACCCTTTGGTTAGTAGGGAATGGAGGAATGGGGTACAATTATAACTACTACGGTTGATGATATAAATCCTGCATTACCTTAAGGACCCTAGATTATTGTATATTCCTTATTATGGGTAATGCAGGATTTATATCATCAACCGTCTCCTTCATATTGTGCTAGTCTGTGAGCATCGTCTTTCCACTCTTGGCTTTAAAAGGGTTTTGCTGCGCACCCTTTTCCCGTGCAGCTGTGGAAAAGTCCTAAACCCTAAACCGCAAGCCCCTAAACCCTGAACCTCGCGTCTCGGGCACTTCACCCCCAAATCGATTCCCAGTCTCCGCCGTCCTACAACACCCGATTTTCCATGTGAGTTTAGTACAGGGGCCTCATCAGTAGAATGGCTTGCAAACCCTAAACCCTAAATCCCATGCTATAGGGGCTTGAATAATTATTTACCTATACTATATGTTTGGAGGTTTTTTACGATAACTATAGTATAGTAGACCCCCCACGACCCTATTCGAATTCTTAAGGCCCCTATATCATAGGTCCCTTATAGTAACTAGCCCTTATTGATCCCTTTAAAGGCACCCTGTTCTAAGCATTAAGGCTCCTATCTAAATCCTATATTGCAACAGGCCCCGACTTCCGTCATCGCAGCGGCCCCCGAAAGTGACCCGTGTGGGGGGGGGGGGGGCGCGCAGGGTTGAGGTTTCAGGCTGCAGGGTTTTAGGTGTAGGGAAGTTCATGCCCTATAAACCCCTAAACCCTAAACTACACCCTATACCCCAACCCCAAACCCCTCAACCTTGAACCCGAATCTAAACCCTAAACCGTGAAAGGTCTGGGTTTCTTGCCTTTCTGGTTTTTGTACTACCAGTCAGCAACGGGGACGTGGCTGGCGCCCGCAGCCAAGCCAAAGCCGATCGGCAGCCCTTAGCCCCGCACTCTTGGGGCTTTTGCAAGTACTACCAGTTCGTATCGTTGATGAACTTGTTTCTGGGAGCCTATGGGGCCTTAGCGTTGGGGTCTAGATGTTTTTTTTCAACAACGGGTGTCGTCGTTCGCACCCTCCAGGCCCGCCACACCCACCGGTGCGATTTGCAAAAGAGCCGCTGGCGTGCAACGATTGCAGACCAAGTGAATTTCAGCTTGGAGCGTTTTTTTCCAAGCCAGACCTGGGCCGAATTGGATTCGGCTGCATGAGCCAATTCTAGCTTTCCACTGCATGACGTCTTTTCTCTTCCGTTCCTTTTACGTGCAGCTGTCCTTGAGTGGTTTGCTGCACCTGACATGCCTGCCTCGCGATCTCGTACAGAAGCTGCTTGGGACCCCGGTGGCCTGGTGTGTCGTCGCCTTAGGGTTTAGGGTTTAGGGTTGCGACCCACTGCGGCACTTTACATTGTTGGTCTCCGTCGAGGGCACGGGC